CGGGCGGAGCTGATTGGTGTGGCCCCGGGGACCGAGGACAGCCTGTCTCTGGGGAGCGACCCCTACGGCAGTGCCTTCAGCCTGTACCGGGGCCGTGCCCTCTCGCTGCACGTGTAAGTAGCCACGGGGCCGTGGAGTGGGGTGCAGGGGCCATTGTGCTGGGATCATCATTTTCCCTAATCCCCAGTCATAATCCCCAGTTATGCACCACTAAATCCCTCCTGAGCCCCTTCATCCTGATCCCAATCTCACTCTCCTCCACACTTCATAGCGCCTTCCTTTCACAGCCCTGACTGCACTCTCAACCCGTTGCAGCTTCCTATACTCTGATGTCATTTATTCTGCTACACCCTCCTTTGTTGCAGTCTCTTTTTTTTACCCCTACAGTCCTGCTATCACTCTTAAAGATTGTGGTTGTGAGGCAAAAAAATTACAGAGGTAGGTATTACCATTCCACCCATCCACCCACTTGCAAGCCTGTCATCTCAAATATCAATCCCACCCTAGCTCTCCTCCTTTGCTCTTGTAGTTTAGTTCCTGCATTATTTTCATTAAACCTCACATTCCAAACTAAAAAGAAAAGAAATCCAGATATCTATAAAACTGTGGTGCTATATTCTGGTTTGAATTCAAGCGTGATAAACTGTCTTAATCTTAACATGCCTGATAATAGTAGAGGGAGCCAACAAAAACATTACTATGACTAAATGAGCCATTTCAATCTAGAAATGTGTGGGTATCTTTGCACGTGAACAAACATATAATATCAATTTGTATCCCAGGCCAAATTAAGCGCACATAGGTTACTTGTTTAAAGTATTAAGGATTAAAGCTTTGTTTCATCTTTTCTTCTGCATTCCTTAAAAGCTCTAGATCAGACATGTCAAACACAAGGCCTAGGGGCCGGATGCGACCCGCAAAGCCATCCTGGAAACAGTGAGGGAACGGCCCCCTCTGCCTTGGCCCTGGCCCAAGCCAGCCGGGAGCCAATGTACAATTTTGTGGTGGTCATATATGCTGAAACGCATTCAGTCTTAGCTCCATAAGCCCCCCCCCGGCATGGCCTGAGAGGAACAGTGAGGCTCCTCCAGTGGACCATGCCTTGGCACTTGCCCTGGTCCCACCCCCTTCTGCCAGAGACCCTCAGATCTATCCCACTCCTGCCCAGGCCCCCCACAGGCACCCTTGACACGAACTATGTAGAGCTGGCCATGCCCACCCAGTAGGCCATACCCACTCTGTCCAGGCCGACCCAGTAGTCCGCACTCAACCTGGCCACACCCACCCAGCCCCCTGAGGGCAACCACAATGCTGATGCGGCCCTCAATGAAATTGAGTTTGACACCCCTGCTCTAGATTAAGGACTGGGACCCAACAATTATTTTGAATTGCAAATATTATGATTTGAGATTATGGATCATACTGGCTGAGGTTTATGGAAGTCCAAAACATCAAGAGGTCACAAAATTACTGTACCGGCAAATTACAGTGTATGATAAGTCAGAATTCCCAACCAAAATCAGATTATATCTGTCAGGGAATAAAAATCCACAAATAGGAAAAGAAACAAAAAGAGATATCATTTGACATGCATTTCTCTTATTTAATATTAAAGGTTTTCAATACAGTATTCACGATTCTTGAACTGCATAGCATTGGCACTGATTCTTTGGATAACTTCTATCACTGATCTTTCTTTCCCAGTTCTTGGTCATTCAGACTCAAATTTTATTTATTCATTAGAAATTTTTTGTGGCTGCCTGTATTATATAAAATACTCCTTTGTGACCATCCTGGGATATACTATACAGATGTACAATTAATAAAAAAAACATGAAATTAAAAAGAAGGGTTTAGCACAAGTCTGAAAGCTCGGAGTCCCTAGTCCCAGTGACTGACCCATATTGGATCCTGCATGAAATTAAAAAACACTTTCTCAACAACCTTCCTTAAAAGGAGTGGATTAGATACAACTGAGTTCATGGCTGACCTCTTGAGAAGGAAGTAGTGAATCACCACCTCTTTCAAGTAGGCAGAACACATATACCCTCCCTCTCTCACTTCCACAAAGTGGCATTAAGCACCTCTTGGACCCAGCCACATGTCATCTCCTAGGACAGTGATGGCGAACCTTTTAGAGACCGAGTGCCCAAACTGCAACCCAAAACCCACTTATGCATTGTCGAGTGCCGGGTGGGTGTGGCCCATTGGCTGGGCGTGGCCCATTGGCTGGGCGTGGCCCATTGGCTGGGCGTGGTTATGATGGTAACGAAAGACTGGGTGGGACTAAAAAGTTCAATCAATCAATTCCAACTTTGCAAGATCTTTTTTTTTCCATGAGAAGTTGAAATTGACTGATTGATTGAATCTTTTTTTTTTTTTTGCACATGGCAACGGAGGCCTAAAGCGAAAAGGTTTTATAAAACCTAGCTGAAGGCCTAGGACTGGGGCAACGGCTCACGTGCCCACAGAGAGGGCTCTGAGTGCCACCTCTGGCACCCGTGCCATAGGTTCGCCACCAATGTCCTAGGAGGTCTTGACCAAAAAGGAGGGTCATTGGTTCAGTAACTGTGAGAGGGATCTCAGAGTCCTAGTGGACAATCACCTAAATATGAGCCAGCAGTGTGCTGCAGCTGCCAAAAAGGCCAACACAGTGCTAGGCTGCATTAACAGAGGGATAGAATCAAGATCACGTGAAGTATTAATACCACTTTACAATGCCTTGGTAAGGCCACACTTGGAATACTGCATCCAGTTTTGGTCACCATGATGTAAAAAAGATGTTGAGACTCTAGAAAGAGTACA